CCCGCCGAAAGCCGCCACACGCCGCCGCCGCGGCCCCTAAGGCCCCGCCTGGGCTCGGTTCGCGCCCAGGCCAAAAGCTCCCCCTGAGCCCGCGACCGCCCCCCCCCCCGTCTCCCTCCCTCCGCCCCTCCGCCCAGCAGGCGCAGAGGGTGTCGAGCTCAGAAACGTGATCCTGGTCGGCTTTGACATTCCGGACCCCTCCGTCGCCGCTGCAACCGACCTGCTGCGGCCCACAGGCCTGCTGCCGCCGCCCCCTCCCGGTCACGGCGGCGGCGGAGGGGGCCAGCTCGTGCTGCGGGACGTCCGTGTGCTGGTGACGCGTGAGGCGCTGACTCAGCACCTGCAGTTCTTCGCGCCGGGGGACTACAACCAGAGCCTGGTGCCAAACACCACGTTTGTGTATACGGTGCGGCGGCGGGCGCGGGCGCAGGTGCTGGCGCGGCAGCGGCAGCGGCAGCAGCAGCGGCGGGCGACTCTCGCGCCCCCTCAGCTGCAGCCGCGCGTGATCCGGGGCCCCTCCCGGCATCATGCCCCCCGGGAGCCCTGCAAAAAGCTGACACTGACTGACAGACTGGCCCACCGACCGACCGACTGACTGACCGACCGACTGCCTGACTGACTGGCTCACCGACCGACCGGCTGACTGACCGACCGACTAAGTGACCGGCTGACCCGGGGCCGCGCCTGACCCCCCCCCAAAAAACCCCGCAGGACGGCGCCTCCTTCCTCCACGTCAACTCCTGGTTCAACGACCACACCACCTGGCAGTCCGTCGGACTGCTCGCCGCCGCCACGCTCGACGCCGCCCTCGCCACCAGCGCCCCGCCGCCCCTGCCCCCGCCCCCGCCGGCCGCGCCGCCCCCGCCCGGCGGCGGCTCGCGGCGGCGGCTCGCGGGGGATGCAGACGGGGCCGGGGCGGGGCCGCTCGGCGAACCCAACTACGTTTTGGCGGCGGACAACGGCACGCTGGTGACCCAGCTGGCCGCGCGCTGCGGCGTGCGGACGCCGGCGCCGCTGCTGGTGTACCTCGCGACCAACGCGACGCTGTCGAAGCCGCCGGTGCCCGAGGTGCGCCCGATGGACCCCTGGCGGCCGCCCGATGCCCCGGCGCCGCCCGGCGCCGCCGACGCGTCTCTGCAGCGGCTTGGGGCCCTGTATTTGCTCCTCACTTTGCGCCGCGTCCACGTACGTCCCGCCCGCCCCCCATCGGGTCACGCCCCACCCTACTC